TATTTATATGAATATATTATAAGAAAATTTTGTCACATTATTATTTTATTACTATTTTGGGTTATTAAGCAAATAATTTCTTAGTTTTTGTACATTATGTTTAAATGAGACTACATGATATAAAATATTGTGTCTACTATTACTAGAGGTAGTACTAAGAGCTTTGTAATATTGGAATATATTATAATCTTCATCCATATTATTACAATTATTTCTTTTCCTTCTTAATACTCGTTGAAAGCATGAGTTATGCTGGGCAAACTAATTAACAAAAAAAATAATTATTTTAAAATATATCATATTAATAATTTTTTTAATTTATCATGAAAAATTATTTTGTATTAAAAATATATGCATAATATATTATTTAACCTTATACAAAATAAATAACGACATGGATATTACTAATATGGTAAATATTAAAACTACAATAGGGAATGTTATATTATGTTCTTGGAATAAAGATAACATTTTATGCTTCAATTTTTCACAACTTTCATTTTGCATAAACGTTTTATATATATTTCTAATAATATCTAAGTGATCGTAATAAATAGGGTTGTTGGATTCACATAGATTCTTGTATTCAATGTATAATTTAGATAAATCATTGACACAATTACAAATTTTATTTCTTGTACATTCATTATTTATATCTTTAAGCTTATGAAACATATTATAAAAATCATGGAGTTCCTCCAGTAGATTAATGGTAACTGTTTTCTTATAATCCTTACATATTGTCTCTCCAAGAGATGCATACACCTCCAAGAACGCATTGTATAATTTTGTAACATAATTTTTATGCGTATTATTGAAAAGTTCATAATATATCCAATAATACAAGTATACGCAGTGTACCTGTGTAACATCACAAGGATATTTTGTATTCTGATCATTTAAATAAGAAAGAGCTTTGGGACAATTGTCATTATAGTAATTATTTGAAATACTCGTACATTTGCTCTCGTTAGGTGTCCACTAATTTGCCATCAAGTTAGGCTTCGTACTACAATAACCATATCTTCTTTTTCATTGTCGAAAAAAAATACACATTTGTACTAAAAAGTAAAAGGAAAAATATAACATAAGAATAAATGGATTAATGTACTGTGAATTTCATATTAGTTTGATTAAATAAATAAATATTTAATAATTAAGTTGAAAATAATAAATAACAAAAACAAGACCGCACATATTTCCTATATGAATGGACATTATATCTTTGTGTTCATAGAAAACAAGTGAAACAAGTAACTTATATATAATTAATTGTGTAAGATAATAATCATTACAGAGATACATGGACAAAATATATGTATGGTTGTTTCATGAAAACGAATTATATTACAATTGTTTTATATTTTTCTTCTAGAGATAAGGCATAATTCCTGTTATTATAAATGGGTAAAAATGTGAATAACTGAAAAACAAAATTTAACATAATAATAAGTAATAAAAACTTTTAAATATTATATTTTATTTAGGGAACAATAATATATATTATTATATGATTAAATAAAACGAGATAATATAGTATAATATTGCTAATAATAATAATACCATATAGAATAAACAAAGTATAGACTATTCATGGTAAATCAGTGTTATACATTTATCTAAATATATTTTAACTTCCTGTAAAAAAAGGAATATGTTTAAGTATTATTTGTTAGAGAAAATATGAAATTATATATCTGTTCTTTTGTTTCCTTCTGAGACAAATTATTGAAATTGAATTTTTCTCCATAACTCCTTTACATATATAGATGTATATATATTATACATAATTTAATTATGTTAAAACTATGTAGTTTAAATGATTATATAAATAATATAATATATAGTATATGTGCAAAATCGATATAAATATTATATAAAATTGATAATATTTTTTTTTTATAAGCATTATTTTTTAATAATTTTTTTAACGTTATTAGGTTATAATTGAAAATGGTTTCTTGTCTTATAGCAAATTTTAAGAATAAATATATATTAATATGTTTTTTTGGAAATGATTATTATATTATATATGTGATAAAATATACTAAGTTTTTGATTAAACATATTTCATTACTCAAAATTTTTAATTACTATCTCTTATAAATGATTTTAAACTTGCGAATTATATATAATATATGGAATTATTAAAAGAATAATGTATGATATTATTTATCATACATGAAATGTTTAGACCAATATATAACTTTATAAGATATTACACTTCTTATGATTCAGATATATTTCCTTAATTATAGATTTATTGAATAACACTTCGTATATTTATTTCACATTTTTTAACACTGTTATATATCAAATATATATATATTTTTTACTTAACAGTGTGAAAAGTATAAATAATCATAAACTGTTACATAAAAAGTACAAACAATACAGGAATATCATAGTATTACTGATACTTTGTTAAGTCGCATATTAAAGCTTTTTGTTATGCATATATAATGTATAAAGATTGTGTATATATTAATAATATTAATGGATATATATATTATTTATTTTTCTTTTATGCTGATATAAATTATTCTAAGCATAACATAAAGTAAAAAAAAATATTATGTTCTATTTATTTTTTACAAAACGGAACATTTTCTATATATTTATTTTATAAAATCGCTGCATGTATGTTGTATTTGCAATTTAATGCTTTCTCTATTATTTTTATATATCATTTTTTTTATTTTTCTATTTTTTATACTATACTATTTATCATATAATATGTGCTATTTAAATTACCGAGAAAATTTTTCTTTTCATCAAATATTTATTGCTACATTCTCGTAATATATATTTTATAATTAAAATATTATATGTGCATATTTTTTGCTCACATAAACACTAAATTGTGACATACTAATACATATTTAATAATTTTAAAATTTTATTCGTTCTTACATTTTTTTAGAAACTTTTTATAAAAAATATAAGGATTTTTAATGTTTTACACGATCTGTATCATTTATACAATTGACTTATATAACTATTAATTTTTTATGATTATAATAATAATATATATTATAGAAAAGAATTTAGATAAGTATAAAATATATATATGATAAATATTAGTAAAATATTTAGCAAATCGCAATTTGAAGACAAAAATATTTCTTTAATACGACAAATATGAAGTATATAAGAAGGAAACACATTATTATTATGAAATAATTTAAAGTAAGATTTTATAAAGAAAGAGCAAAATAAAAAATATTGTGTAATATAATGGGAAATTAAATTTCTGTGATAATATATTTATATAATTTCTTATAATTTTCAAATTTATATTATAAAAGAGTAATATATTATAATTGTTGTATATATTTTATTTTGAAATAAGAATATCATAGTTTTCATAGAACATATAACCCATATAATTAAGTTAACACAGCAAAATAATTTACTAATTATTTAAAATATATAGTAATAGTATCTTTTTTCTTACTTGAAATTTCTAATTATGCTTTACTTTACAATAAATACCATAAATCATTAAAACATATCGTGAAAAAAAATTGTTATAAATTATGTTATGTTAATTAAACTTATATATATGATAATCCCTTCTTATAATAACAATAATATTATAAGAATATAAGTATATAAATAAATATAAAATTACATTTATTCATTTTGTAATAGAATATAGAATAAGATCGTAATCTGGCGAAAAAAGAGCATCATAATAAAGGGCTTATAAAGGGATTGTCATAAAATAAGTATAATATAAAAAAAAAAATCTTGTTCAGTTCAATTTATTTAATTATCAAATATATGTACTAAAAATAATTATTTATAGGATACATCAATTATATATTTGTACTTACAACATTACTTGTAATAGCACTTATGAGTTTAATATAAAAAATAATTTTTAAATTCTTAGTCAAATATTATGTTAGAGAAATAAAATTAATATAATGTGATATTATTTTCATTGTACAATAAAAATATTACATATTTTTTTGAAATATATATAAAAATAGTAGTAGTATAAAAACTATTTTATTTTTGTATAAGTGACTATTTCATTTTATTTATTATATATCCTAAATAAAATCTATGTATATAAACAAGAATATAACGTTAGTTAACAGGGATTTCAATAGCTTCACTGCTTTGATATTTATCGCGATACATAATTGGCTTAGATAAGCATATTCTGAGTAAATTATTTTAAATAATGGATTATGCTATAAAATATAAATAGTTATTATATTCAATTTAATCGTGTTTAGGACTTATTAAAATTATGTGACAGTTGTGGTCACTCTGACTTCATTCATAAAGTATTTACATTTTTTTGTAACAGCTACTTTATTGAAATTATATGATATCTAGCTATATTAATTCATTATGTATAAGCTCTAAATTTAAATGTATATTCATTCAAATTTAATAAGTATATATATTATTACCTTGATGTATATTATACTTTTAAAACATATATGTAAGATTATACAGTATATACGTGATTTCTATGTATGCATAGATTATAAATATTTATAATTATTTTTCTTAATATTATAAAATTTATACACAAATTTTAGGAACACGTTTTATTAGAAGCATATTATTATATTGATTTCTCATATACTCTGTTATAAGTTATATATGCATTAAAATTTATATTATTAATTTTAATACATTTAGCATAATATAAATATTAATAAGTAAAAATTAGTGAAATATACATAGATAGTATAGATAAAATAACATATATTTAACTTTTCTTATTATAGAAATCATTGTATACATTGATAATAAATGAGGAATTAACACTTTAAATATTCGAATAAGTTTACTTGTGATTAGGTAAATGATGAGAACTATGGGAATATTTAAAAAAAGGAATTTAATATCATTTATTTCTATTATATATATACTACAACAATTTTATTACCTATAATAGAATTATAAAAAGTATGCTTATTATCACGTTTGTTCTATGGTTTATGGTTCAGGTTTTAGGGTTTAGAGTTTATTTAATATATACAAAAATTTGTATTTACTTTTTGTATTTTTAATTATAATCAAAATTAGCTTTCTTGGGTGCTTCCTTAATTCTTTTGTATGTGTATCACTACTTTCAAATGATGTATCTAGAGAATCATCACCAAACTTTTTCTCATCATTCTGCTTATATACTAATAAGGATATATCATAACAAATAGATAAACGTAAAACGACTCCTCCTGCATATAATTTGCATGTTTCTTCTCCCCTTGTTTAAGAATGATTTTTATTTTTATTCTCAGTACTATTGTTACAATAGTTGACGTCAATTTCAGCAGAATTCTTTTGTTCTTCAGATAGTTTTGGAAATTGTACTACATATAATTTATCTATTTGTTCTTTTATATTATATAGCTATTTCTTTTGATCATCAAATGAACTATTAATAACAGCTGAATTTAATACATTATATACTCTTTTTTCTATATTATTAATTTCATTTCCAGAATAATTTATTAAACTAGATATTTAGTATAATTAATCATCTAGAATCTTAATTATATTTTCGGAACCATCCATAAAATATTTTTTAGAGTTACTTTTATTTATTTACTCTTTGGATAATCACACAAATTATGTATAAATCTATTTTTTTTTACGTTTTAATTCTATCCAGGACATTAGTAAATTGCGATAAATTAGCTTTTGCTTTTGTGGTATTTATCCTTTTTTAAATTTATTCTTATTTTTTTTTTTTCTGTTCTTTTTTATTTTATTTTTTCTATTTCTACTTTTTATTTTTTCTTATTGTTTCTATTTTTTTTTTTATATTATT